CATTACTGAGTAGTGTTCCATTGTATGGACGTACCACAATTTGTTTATCCTTTCACCAGTTGATGGACGTTGGCACTGTTCCCAGGTTTTCGGCAGTTACAAATAAAGCCACTGTAAACATTCATGTACAGGTTTTTGCATGGACAAATGTCTTCATTTCTCTTGGGTAAATATCTAGATTGCTGCTTATACATTTAATTTTATAAGAAATTGCCAAACTGTTTTCCACAGTGACTGTATCATTGTGCATTTCCACCAGCAATATGAGAATTTCAGTTTTTCTGTGTATTTGCCAGCATTTGATGATGTCAGGTTTTTGTTTGGTTTATCTGTTTAAACCCTTCTAATAGATGCATCTCTTAGTGGATGTAATTTGCATTTTCCTAACGACTAACAAGGAATATTTTTTCACAGGCTTATTTGCCATCTATGTCTTTGGTGACGTGTCTTCAAATGTTTTGACCTTCTTTCCATTAGGTTGCTCGTTTTCTTATTTTGAAGTTGTGAGTGTTCTCTGTGTATACTGGATATTGCTCCTTTATCAGATATGTGTCTTGCAAATATTTTCTCCCAGTCTGTGACTTGTCTTTTCGTTTTCTTAACAGTCCTTTTCAAAGAATAGAGGTTTTAAATTTTGCTGAAGTCCAAATTATCATCCTTGATTTTTATAGCTTCTGCTTTTTTTCCTACCTAAGAAATCATTGCCTAACCTAAGGTCACAAAGATTTTTCTTTAGAAGCGTTACAGTTTTAGATTTTACATACAGGTCTATAATCCATTTTGTGTTAACTTCTATATATACTATGAGCTATGGGTTGTGGTTATCTGATTGTTTCAGTACCACTTGTTGAAAAAAACTGTCCTTTTTCCATTGAATTGCTTTGGTGCCTTTGTCAAAAAACTGTGTCCATATATGTGTGGGCCTGATTCTGAACACTTTCTTCTATTGATCTATGTGTCTCTTCTTTTGCCTACACCACACTGTCTTAATTACTGTAGCTTTAGAATAAGTCCTGGAATCAGAAAGAGTAAGTCCTCAAACTTTGTTATTCTGGCTAATTATTCTGGCTATTCTGTTCCTTCATATTTCCATATAAATTATAGAATTTACTTGCCAATTTCTATAGTCTTCCGGAATTTTGATTGGGATTGTGTTGAATTTATAGATCAATTTGGAGAGAAATGACATTTAAATATTGAGTCTTAAAATCCATGAACACAGATATCTCTCCACTTATTTAGGTTTTCTTCATTTCTCTCTTCAACATTTTGTAGTTTTCAGCACACAAATATTACACATATTTTGTTAGATTTATCTCTATGTATTTTGTGTTTTTTGTAAAGGCTTAGCAATGTTAATATTCTATTGCCTTTATTGTTGTAGTTATATTTTAGAAAAATGTAGTAATTATTAATAAAGTAAAAGATTTATTATATCTTGAGTTTAAGTACAACTATAAGATAGGAGTCATGTAGAAATTACTTTAATTTCTATTCAAAAAAGTGTCATTTCGCCTTTTCGCTGCCTGACCGCAGCCATCATGAGTCGCGTGCGCACTCCTGGGAAGGGCCTGTCCCACTCAGCTCTGCCCTGCCGCCGCAGAATGCCTGCCTGGCTGAAGGTGACATCTGACGATGTGAAGGGGCAGATCTACAAACTGGCCAAGAAGGGCCTGGCTCCCTCACAAATTGGTATGGTCCTGAGAGACTCACATGGCGTTGCACAAGTATGTTTTGTGACAGGCAATAAAATCTTGAGAATTCTTAAGTCCAAAGGACTTGCTCCTGATCTTCCTGAGCACCTCTAACATTTAATGAAGAAAGCTGTTGCTGTTGAAAGCATCTTGAGAAAAACAGAAAGCATAAGGATGCTAAATTTTGTCTGATTCTGATCGAGAGTCGTAATCACCAGTTGGCTCAGTATTATAAGACCAAATGAGTCCCTCCCCACAACTGGAAATGAGTCATCCACAGCCTCTGCCCCGGTTGCATAAATCTGTCTATGCACACAAGCAATAAAATCATTGTTTAACTGGGAAAAAAAGTGTAGTTTCTCGAATATGGCTCTTCCTAATCTATTCTGCTCTGTAGAGCTGTTAATAATGTGAATTTGGCAGGAAAAATCACCTTTCCATAGTAACTGACTGGAATCTCTATAAAATGTTCTTTCCTTTTTTTTAAAAAGAAAAAAGCTTTTCTAGGTGAAACAGAATAGAATAGAGGGTTATCTTCTCTGATATGTTTACATTTGTTTTAATTATAGAACCTGGAATCAGAAACTGTATAGTCATCCTATTTGTTATTTACTGCTTTCCATACTAAATGAATTTTCAATAAATATGCATAAAGTCTTCAACATATCAGGTAGTTCACTAGGCACAATTACATGCTTACCTAACTAGTCCTTATTTTGGCTTTTTAACAATCCTCTGAAGTAAGCATTATTACTGTGCATTTCATCAATACAGGTGAGGAAATTGAGGCTCACAGAGATTAAATAAAACTCCCAGGAAGACAGAGCAAGCCTGTGGCAAAATGAAATGTGACTTCAGTCTAATTCCTAACGTGTGCTCCCTTCACCTGGGGAGGCTGCTCTGGATGTACCACAGGATAATCAGAGATTCCCAGAGGGCAACCCCAGGCTCTACAGGCCTCCCGACAGCGTGATCGCTTATAGTTTAAGCCTTTAAACTATAAACACCAAGCCGGGAATCACACCCACTGGAACTGGTGCAGCTAACAAACTTAGGTACAACTCAAAACGCTTTAAAATCCTCAAAAATACACGTTAACCCAAACGCTGGGATTACGTTCCGAGTTCCCTAGGAAGCAAGCTGAAACATAAGAGACAGCCTATTTCACTTTCTCATATTTCTCTATCAACACCTTTTTATCCTATTTCTTCCCTCCAATACAGATGCTATCTGGGAAGCAGGTAGCAGTTCAGAAAATGAGATTCAATGTAGGAAAAAGCAAGAAGCAGGATCACAGGTTGAGATTAATCTGCTATGAATACATTACTTCTGAAGGAAGCTATTAGAAAGGATCCTCAGCACTGTACTTACTCTGAGTAGTACCTCGCACATGCAGAGGGTGAGGAAATGCTTTTGAGATACTGATCTTAAAAAAATGTTGCAACTGAAAAACCCTTTTTATATTAATTTTTTTTCAAAATTATTTGGCAGAAGACAGCTAAAATGCAACCTTAAATCTATCATTCTCCAGCAACAATTGAAAGTTCTAAATAAAGCAGCACTGTAGCACGAAACAGTTATTTTTTAGGATTATTTACCTGCAACACTCCAAATTCAAGATTCCTTTTCCTTCTGTAGTAATTATGGTACAACAAATCTTGACAGCAGTGCAAAAAGCAAACCCTTGTTCTTTTAAATAGCCTTAGGCATCTGCCATGTTAAGAGGTCTTCAAAATTCTGAACCCAGGGCAGACTGACTTAATTACCTAAGTGGCCTGCGGCATGCTTATAAATTAAATTTTATAAATCCTTAAATTATAAATAGAAGCAGCAACAACATTAGCTTAACTACAGGGGAAAATCAGCTCGCAAAAAGCTGCAGGCTATCTAAGACCTTGAGGGTGGCCACACTGTGTGTAAACCAGCTTTTGGATAGGGAGGGGGTTCTCCAACAACAGGGTCTATCTCTGGATCAGTGGCATATTTGGGAATGTTGGCTAAACCACTCAAATAATCTGTATTGACAGAAAGGCAAAGACTAGCTTTCTACAGTAACCAAGACCCAAACCAAATAAGATTTATCTCAACAAGCAAAAATGTTTGAGTAATTCATTGTTTGTCATATCTATTGTCTCTCAGAAGTTCTAAACTGAGAATAAAAAGTATGGTAAACTCAAGGGCCGTGTCAGCCTTCAGGATGGTTGGGGAAGAGCTGAACATTCCCTGTTTGATTAAGGCTTGAAGCCTAGGAGATGTTTAATGAAGGCCTGATACATGACTACATTTAAGGCTAGTGTTAGATATACAGACCAAGGCTTTTATAAAAAAAAGATAGACTTGTTAAAAGATGTAAGATGATCCCTAAAATCACAACAGCAAAAATAAATCCACAAAAAACAGCCTAACCAAAATCACAAAACAGAAAAAAATAATCCAAAACAGAAAATCACATGAGTATTATTATTCTTATTGATTGTAGATTATAACCAGAAATGTCCTGAGAAGATTTTAACTAATTCATTCAACAAATATTTATTTATTGACCTCCCCCAATGTGTTTCAAAGCTTACATTAGCGATCAGGCAACTGACAACAAAAGTCTGAAAATGATTTGCCCAAGATTATCATTAATCACCGTCAAAGCCAGGACTCAAATTCAAGATTCCTATCTTCTTGAAAGACTGGAGCTTTGTTTACATAATGCTTTCAAGAGAAAAGCACAATAGTAACAATTTGCCTGATTCCTGAAGACACTGTTAGACTCACAGGAATTCAATTTAGACGGAGGGTACACTGCTTTCCCTGTCTGCTTTATCCACATTGCCTTCCACTGCAGGCATTCCCAAAAGATATGACTATATTTAGTTGTTTCAGCTACTTATACTATCAAGATAATGAAGCCAAGGCTACCAGTTCAGTCTTCACAAGGGACTTGCTATTTGTCATCATGCATATTTAAAGCAAACAAATGATCAGTGCGAATCTGTCTTTAATAGAGAATCTCACAATGTAAAGGCACAAAACCAGTTTGGATCAGGGATGCTACCTTTATAACTGACAAAAGGACATCAATGTTCACCTGCAGACCTGACCTGGGGACTTCATATTAGATCACCAGGGTCTCACAACTCAAGAGGAAAACTTCCCAATGAACTGAGAGGTTAAACTCTGATCCAGATCTTCCTCTTAATGATTTGAAGCTTCAGGCTATCAAAACTCAAAAAGAAATATTGTATCACACATGTGAATTTTCCATTCCCAGGCTCACTCACCCACAAATGCTACCATCCCACATTGACAACCTACTGGACTTTGTTTCCACTTTCGGCAAAGAGGGTATGACTCAAACTACTGGTCTGTCCCAGTGGGATAAATCCAATGGGAATCTTACTGAAGGTAGCCTGGGGGAGAAAAAGAAGAAGAGAGTTTTATCGTTATGGTCAGAAAATCAGGCCAAACAGAGAGGCACAACCATGTCCACTGTGACAAAGTAACAGACCCTGGGTCCGCCACCCTGTCTCCTTTCCCATACCCCTAGACCAGCAACCAGGGAACACTAAGTGAGCAGCTTCTGGAATGACGCAGTCCATGAAAACAACATGACTTTGAATTTGGAAGAAATACTGGGTACTCATTAATGGCAACTGGTTCAAAGAAATTTGGTTAAGAGAATGAGGGGCTTAACGATATGAGATAAATGCACTATTGTGACAGACACTGTATTATGCTGTCATGCTATTTGAAAAAGTTGCATATAAAATTCAACTAAAAATATCTAACATTTGTACAGTAACTAATGACAGGTGAAAACGCTTTATAAACTATCTTAAGTATAAATAAGGCAAGAGAATAAATAAGTTGAAGTAGCAGAAGGTAATCACATAGTAGTTGATTTAATTAAACGCCACAAATTAATAGACACTGTAAGGTTCCTAAAGACTATTTGAGCACAAGCTACTATTACTAACGGGACTAGGAAGGATCTTTTTTGTTGTTGTTTTTATAAAATGTTTTAAACTATTGTAGAAAAGTGCATAAAATAATGTAACAACATCCATGTAGCCAAGACTCAAATTTAACAAATGTTACGTGTTTCCATATTTGCTTCAGATGTTTTAAGAAATAAAATGATTCAGATACAGCTGAAGTCCCTTCTCATCTTTTTCCCCTCTCTCCCTTTCCAGAGGAAACCATTATCCTGAGGCTGCGTTATTCTTTTACTAAACATTTGGGCATCCATTAACAGTACATACTATTGTTTTCTGAATTTTAAAACTTTGTAGACACGCGTAACATACTTTTGGCAACCTGCCTTTTTTATTGAATATCTTTTAGATTTAACCATGTAGATACTTATAAACCTAGTTCATTCATTTTAACTGCTGTACGGCTTCCAGTATATGAATATACCACAATGTATTTATGGAGGAATCCTTTGAAGAAAAGACTTTATAGGAAAATTTTACATTTTAAACAACTCTTGGTAAAAGCTATTGGATAATCTGGATTACCAAAGCAGAAAAGTCCATATGGGTTAATAAAAGCGTTCTGTCACACAGGCAACACTACTTTATTTTCTAAAATCCAAGGAAGCACAACTTAGGCCTGCCTTAAGATATAAAATGGAAAGAAAAAGTAAAAGAAAAAAGTAAAGAGAGATAAAAAGAACAGAAAAGTAAAAGCTAAAATGCAGTTACTCTGCTTTTTAAAGCTCACCTCATCTGCTCTTCGAAGAACGCCAGTAATAACCTACAAATGTTTAAAAAAAAATATTATAAACAAGATGTATTTCCTTTACCATAAAAGAATTGGATTCAATTTTCATGGGCCACAAACTTGTTCCTGTTTTCTTCTTGGATACTAGGACAAAAGATGTACTGGCTCTCAAAACACGTAGTATTCTCCAATAGGATCAGAGCTAAATTAGATTTTATTCTTGACCTAGGATCAACAGTACAATAAAAGCTAAGATAAAATAATCATGAAACCTCTACACTATATTAGTAAAATTATGTTTCAAGTTCTGTAAAATGGGTATAAATGTGATACACACATCAATTATACAAAAGACCCTTGTTTGCTACTATGAAATACACATACGAGAACAAAATAATACCTTGTTACACGCAGAGAAGTCTGCTCTCAATAAATGTTTCTTATTGATGAATATAAAAACAAGGCAGACAGTATTCCCTCTACTAAAAGACATTTTTAATTTGGATTTTTACATTATTTTTTATTTTTAAAATACAATATATATATCTTGGTAAAACTATGAAAGCATCTAATGAAAAAATATTTTCTCATAAATCCACAATGCAGAACAACCATCATTAACCAGTTATTAACATTTTGGTGTATTTCCCTCTGATTCTTTTTTTATCAGGGTGTATTTATAACTGTATTATACCAAAGACACAATTTGGTATCTTTTTTAGAAACCTTTTACAAAGTAAAGGCTGATGCCAATCTGCTCCCTTCATCTCCTTCCACACTGACTTTCACTAGTACATGGGGCTGTCATGAGGCCTACTTCATTCTTTGTTAGCATGTTATCAGTATTCTTCACACTTCATTAAAAAGCCAGAAAAACAATTACAAAATCATTAGCACAGTCGTTTTAAAAGAAGCTTACGAAGACTTACATAATTGCTAAGTCAAACATAGGATGGTGCCCTGTCTGCTGCTGGCTCCTGATCCCTGAGCACTGATGAAACCACCAAATGGAGGCAAAAGGTGGTCAGAAATGAGTACAGATGTGAATTATGGTACCCAGGAAGGAATGAGTGGTGGTAAGAGGGGCTTCTGTACTGGGCTCTTTAGGGGTTTCCAATGTAGAATGAAGGTTCTAGTCTGCTGTAGGGAAAAGAGCACTTCCAGGGCAGTGTACTCAGTGCCCTCAATGGACAAGGTAGCATGGAATTTTAAAACAAAGGCACACGCATGAATCTGAACATGTAGACTCTGCCTCTGAATGTACTATTTGGAGATAACGCTGCATGTGGCGGAAATGATGTGAGAATGGGAATCTTTATTTTTTTTAAAAAGAACCTTTATTTAACTTTATAAGAAATATTCCTCATAGTTGAAACTATGATTCCATAACAAACAGGGCTACTTCACAAGAATCTCCAGAATTTACATAAAAAGCTTATCGTACCCACCACCATTTTATCTCCAGTTTTATTCAATTTTATCAAACTTACATTTGACAAAACAAAAACCCTTCTGTGTGTTGGGTATAGAGTTTACTCAAAGCAATGAAATAAGTGTATGAGAAAAATTAATGCTACACTTGTTTCAGAGTAACAATCCTAAAAGAATGGATTACAAAGAAATAATTTCCTTAAATTAGAACCACTTTACGCCACTGCTCTGAGATCTAATTTCCATTTTCCTCACCTTCAGAATGGTTTCAAACAGAAAAACAGCCATACCTCCTGCAATGTCCCATCTCCTCCAGCAACAATGATCACATCTGTGTTTTCCATCAGTTCCAGGAGTTTCTTGGCTTGGCCCTCATAATCTGTCTAAAATACAAAGGAAGCCTTTGGTAAATTTATCATCCTAGGGCCACAGGGTCAAAGGTTTAAAAATATGGGATATTTTCTTTAAAGTTTTAATTGAATCTTTTCTTAAATTCTACATAATTGATAGACCTGAAAAACTAAATAGCTATTGAAGCAATTATGTATAATTTTTATAGTTTTATATTTTTAGAGCCAAAGGGACCTCAGAAATCATCTAGTCAGCTCCTTACTTTAAAAATAAAACTCAAATCCATTGATTTGTCTCAGTTACAGAGTTAGCTGGTCCAAGGACTCATTTCCAGCCCAGAGAAGATTCTATTATATCCTTTATTCAGGGCTTTTCATCTGAAGCAGGAAGGCAAATGTATATGCAAATAGGGAGAAGCAGATGTAATGAAAAGGGCACAGATCTGGGAGCCCAAGAGACCTAGATTAAATCCTAACTCTGCTACTTTTTAGCTGAGTGGCCTTAAACCCTCAGGATCTTAATTTCCTTATCAATGCAATTATGTGTTGGGGGAGGGGGAAATAATAGCTTCCTTGTAATACTGTTGTAAAGCAGTAAATAAAGCAACTAGCTAGGCAGCTGTTCATAATTGGTACTGTACTAAATGCAAGGAGGTTAGTATTATTTTGCTATGTCTGTAGATATAAAGAAGTACAGGTATGGTTTAAAGCAGGCAAAAAACAGTACCTAAGCCTCACCATTTGTATTGAGAATACTGTATCTCAGACACAATGACGACCGAAGGAAGCACCTAAGCCACGACCTCTGAACCCAAACACTGAGTTTTAATAGACACAGTGCAACTCATACCAAACTAAGGAAACGTTCCCTCCAACTGACACTGTACTAGACACACTAACAGGCAAAAATGAAGGATTTGGATTTCAGATGGGCTAAAGCACCTGAGCCAGGAAGTCACAGTTAACACAGAGGAAAAAGGATGTCCCTAACTAACACCAGAGAATTTTATGATGAACAGTCCTACTTTTATCCTAAAAATGAAATCCCTGGCTTTATAGTTATACATTTGCAAATATTTCATTTTTAAAAAAAGAATCTATGTCAGTCCTTATTAAAAGGATGGTTTGTGAGCAGCCCAAAACAGGTGACCATTGGGAATCACCATGGGTTGGCAAAGAATGAGGCATTTCAGACTACCCTCATCTTCAACAGATTACTAGATCTGGGAAAGGAGACAGACATTATTTCTGATCTGCAGCAAGGCACCTGGCAAGCTATTTGATAATATCCTTGGGGACAAGGTGGAGAAAGGCAGAAACAATATGCTAGAATATGATTAGGTGAATTAATTACTGATCAAATGTCTAAGCTCAAAGTGAGATGCTCAATCAAGTGACATTAAATTGTAGGTAACTTTTTTTTTTGCTTTTTCTCTCCAAATCCCCCAAGTACATAGTTGTATATTTTAGTTGGGGGTCCTTCTAGTTGTGGCATGTGGGACGCCGCCTCAACACGGCCTGAGGAGCGGTGCCATGTCCACGCCCAGGATCCAAACTGGCAAAACCCTGGGCCGCCGAAGCAGAGCGCACGAACTTAACCATTTGGCCAGAGGCCCGGCCCATGTAGGCAGCTTCTTAGTGACATTTCTTCAGGGCTCTCTCTTCAACCTTTTTCTATATAACCCTTTATCAACAATGGAGATGAAAGGTAATTTACTGCATATGTAAATGATACAAAGCTGATGATCTTGCCCCTCCTTACTCCTCCAACCTCATCCTCTCACTCTCTCCTCTTGCTCATTCCACTCCAACCACACTGGCCTCCTCACTATTGCTCAAACACCCAAGCACACTCCTACCTCAGAGCCTTTGAATGTGCAGCATGCTTGCCCCCCGTGAAGGTGCATGACTCATTCATTTCCTTCAGGTCTCCGTTCAAAGGTCATGTCATTAGACCAGCCTTCCTCGACCTTCTGAACTAAACTAACATGCCCATGTGCCTGGTCCCCTTATCCTGCTTGATTTTTCTTCTTGGCATTCATCACCATCTGACAAATCATATGTTTATTTGTATGTTTCTTATCTGCATCCCTTCCTTTCACACTTTGAATGGAAGTTCTGAGGATGGATAGGGAAAGTTTACTTTGTTCATTCTATATCCGCAATACCTAGAACAGAGTTTACCTCATAATAGGCACTCAATAAATATTTTCAAAAGAGAAATTAATAAATATGAATAAGTATATGAATGAAAGACCCAAAATTCAAAAAGATCTTGACAGAGTAAACAGACCATAATTTAAAAGAGTACATTAATAGATATGACACATTTGAGGCTCTGATTTTATTAGATGAAAATTCCAAATGAACCAAAAGAAGGATAAAAAAGAGTAGCCTAATGATGCAAAAAAATGAATTGAGACACTACCCTTACACCTTTCACAAAAATTAACTGAAAATAGATCATAGACCTAAATGTAAAATAGAAAACTATAAAACTTCTAGAAAATAACACAGGAGAGGATGTAGGTGATCCTGGGTTTGGTGATGAGTTTTTAGATCACCAAAACCAAGATCCATGAGAAAAAAATTGGTAAGTTAGACTTCCTTAAAATTAAAAAAACTTCTGCTCTATGAAAAACACTGTTAAGAGAATGAAAAGATAGCTTTAAAAGACAGCATAAGAGGGGGCCGCCTGGTGGTGCAGCAGTTAAGTTCCTGTGTTCCGCTGCAGCAGCCTAGGGTTCAACAGTTCAGATCCTGGGCGCAGACCTACGCACTGCTTATGAAGCCATGCTGTGGCAGGCATTCCACATATAAAGTACAGGAAGATGGGCATGGATGTTAGCTCAGGGCCAATCGGCCTCAGCAAAAAAGAGGAGGATTGGCGACAGATGCTAGCTCAGGGCTAATAAAAAAAAAAAAAGACAGTGTAAGAGAAAATATTTGCAAAACATATATCTGATAAAGGACTTGTATTCAGAATATACAAGGAAATTTATAACTCAACAATAACAAAACAAACAGGCAACAATGCAATTAAAAGAGCAAAGATCTGAACAGACACCTCACAAAGGAGATATACAAATGGAAAATAAGCAAATGAAACAATGCTCAGGATTATATGTCATTAGAGAACTGCCCATTAAGACAACAAGAGACCACTACATACCTAATAAAATGGCTAAAACTCAAAACATTGACAACACCAAATGCTAGTAAGGATGTGGAGCAATAGGAAATCTCCTTCATTGCTGGTGGGTATGCAAAATGGTACAGCCACTTTGGAAGGCAGTTTGCCAGTTTCTCACAAAGCTAAGCATACCCATACAATATAACAGAACAACTGCACTCCTAGGTATTTACCCAAATGAGTTGAAAAATTACGTCCACACAAAAACCTGCACAAGAATGTTTATAGCAGCTTTATGCACAATTGCCAAAATTGGAAGCAACCAAGATGTCCTTCAATAGGTAAATGGATAAACAAACTGTTGCACATCTACATAATGGAATATTATTCATTGATAAAAAGAAACGAGCTATCAATGCACAAAAAGAAATACCACTGAGGAGCCCAGGAGAGACCAGCACAAGATCAGCTATGAACACAGACTGCTGACCAATAGAATTATAAGCAGAAAAACAGTTGTCCAAGGCAGTTTGTAGTGATAATTAGTATACAGATAAATTTATCAACAATTACAGTAAATGTTAATGGATTAAATGGTCCAGTCAAAAGGCAAAAAAAAATTGGATCTTTAAAATATCCTGTTTTCATGCCATTACCAATGATGCATCTAAAATACAAGGATACAAAAAGGCTGAAAGTAAAGAGATGTAAAAAGTATACCAGGCAAAAACTAACCAAAGTCAGCTAGTATAGTTACTAATAATATTAGATAAGATAGACTATGGTAGGATCTATGACAGAGTCAAAATGTGAGAAGAATGAAATAATTTGAAACTTGAGTGCATCTACTGACATGGTTTCAAAATATAAAATGCAAAAATGGACAAAACTACATAGAGAAGTAGACAAATCTACAATCAGATTGGGAGATTTCTAACACCTCTCTCTCTGAATAATCTATAGTTAAAACAGAAAAAAAAATCAGTAAGGACATAGAAGATTTGTGCCACACAATTAACAGATTTGACTTAAGGGATATATATAGAACACAGTACCCAATAACTGATAAATTTTTTTTTTTTTAGGCATACATGGAACATCTATGAAAACAAACCACATGGTAGGCCATAAAACAAGTCTCAATAAACGTTAAAATACTGGAATTATATAGACTACATCCTTTGACCATAACATAATTAAACAGGAAATTATTAACAAAAAGATTTGGAAAAACTGCAGATTTGGAAATTTTAAAACATACCTAAATAACTCATAGGCCAAACAAAAATCATGATGGAAATATTTAGAAATGAATCATAACGAAAATATAGATCAAAACTTTTAGTATGCAGCTAAAACAGTAGAATGAAATTTACATCTTTAAATAAACACACTAGGAAAAAAGGGTGAAAATTAATCAAATAAACATCCAAGTTAAAATGTCAAAAAAAGAAAAAAAGCAGAAAAAAAATCCAAAGAAGGTAGAATGAAGGAAACAATAAAGACAGACAAGGAGTTAATGAAACAAACACAAATGAGAGGATCAACAAGCCAAAAACACATTTCTTGGCAAGGATTAATTAAACTGATGCACCTCAAAAAAAAAATTGTGCACCTCTCACTAGACTATTGAGAGGAAAAAAAATGAGGGCACAAATAAACAATATTAAGTATGAAAATTAGATACTACAGATATTATAGAGATTTAAAAGTTAAAGAGGATAAAACGAACAATTGATGCCAATTAATTTGAAAGCTTAGATGAAATGAACAAATTCCTTTAAAAATTTACCTTACCAAAATTAGTTCAAGAAGAAATAGAACTTGAGTACTTCTAGAGCCATTAAGGAAATTTAATATAAAAAAAAAAATGTCGCCTCAAAGAAAGCTCCAGGCCCAGATGGTTTTACTCCTGAGTTCAACCAAACATTCAAAGAACAAATACTACCAGTCTTACATAACATTCTAGGATCCCTCATATGTAGAGTCTGTAACATGCATCACAGGTACTCAAATAAACGTTAATTTTCTTCCCCTTTCTCCCATCCCTGGAGGCAGACAACTGGAAGACCCCATCTCAGACAAGGTGGAGAAGAGAGTTCAACACTACATGGTAAATTGGACTAAATGACTTGTAATCTCTATGATTTAATGAAAGGGGGTAATATTAAAAATAGATAAACCATAGACTTACAAACATGTTAACAGAGTGATTTTCACCAAATACATGTACTTATGTATACACCACACACGTTACTTAAAAGTCAACAAAGCAGAGTCTTGAGGCATCTTCTGAAATAGCACATTTCCTTCTACCTTATTTTTGTCCCCTTTTCTTCTTACCTAAATCTTGCAAATTCTAAAGCTTTACCATTTAAAATTCCTCATCAGAGATAATTCCTCACCAGAGAGAAAATATTTGCCTGTCTATGGAACTACCAAGAAATTAAACTAATTTTTAATGTTCAAGAATTCTTACAGCTACAACAACTTTCATCTTCCAAAAGACAATGATTCCACATCCTATCTTTCAGATGAAAGGAATCACGTTCATGCCTCCATCTAATTCTATTCTGAAAACGAAAAGCTGACAATGCTTTGAAAAAACAAAATTGCTTTTATTAATTATCAGAACAAACACACAACATTGATTTCTCTGTTCTTGTCTTCTTAAGTGATTAAGTGACTTCTGCTAAGAAGTCAAGAGAAGAGGATATGTTGTAAGGAGTGGTAACCTGGATAAAATCAACACTCTGGAGCAGTTCTCACCTTAACAACAGTCACGTCCATGCCAGATAAGTGTAAAATCGGGGCAGCATTTTTTTCAAATAGAGTCCTGGCTTTGCTGTAGACAAAGGAAAAAAATACAAATATTTTAACAAAAGTTCTCAAGAGGAAGAAGAAAAATCCCAACCATCTTCTCTAGAATAGAACAAGAAACAGACTAAGGAGCACAGGTTTCCTTTATTTGTTCAAGGATAGGAAGTTTAACAACGAGTGATGAGTTTCTATGGATAGAAACGGAGACTCTTTCACGCTGGGCCTCCAGGAGTTACCCTTTGTCTAACACAACCAGCTCTTATCCATTTGGGATGCTTACAGTTCACAGTGGTTCCTCGAGACGAAGAATGTACACTAGATACGGCTCCATGCAGGCAACAGTGTTTGATTCCTTCAACACATATTTACTGAGCACCTACTCTGTGCTAGACACAGATTTAGGAGCTGGATACAGTGGGACGAAGCAGATAAAAATACTTGTAACTTAAGTATAAGGCATTAAGTCCTCATGGAACTTATTTATATTCCAGTGGTGGAAGGAGAAGAATGTATTTACTACAACATTTTTCAGATGGCCTGAAGGAATGATTGAACCAAACAGATATTGCTTAATTCTAAGTCAATGGACACAACCTTTGGGGTAGAAATACATCATTTTTAACAATTTCAAATACTACGGGTATCTCTATCTTTTGACTTTTAACCTTGTAGTGAAATCCCTGGAGAAAGAGCAAAATTCTTTTCCATGAAGACAGAATTTCTGCTAGGAAAGGGAAAAGTTCAAAATTACCTAATGTAACTATTGGATACTCAGCAGCTTTTCCGACATTCCCAGGCACAGTCATGCCCTTCTCTGTGCTGCCCTATGACTCCACACACACCTCTGTTAGAAGCTTTCACATAGCACGATGATCGGTGATTTGTAAAATAGTCTTTGGGACTAGATTGGAAGTCTTGCAAAAACTGACACCAAATCTTATTGACCCTTGAATCCTGGCCTCTAGCATTATGTTTGCCACACTTAGAAGATACTCAATAAGTATCTGATGAATTAACGCACAAATGAATGAATGAATAAACTCACCCTAAACGCAGACGTGAATTCTGAGGAAAAGGAAATGACACAATTGTGATGTCTTGTAACAACAGAAATGATTAAACAGGCTTACAAGAGTTTGCGTGTTTTAAAAGTATCATGCACATCATTCTGATAGTGACTCTTGTTCAATTTAGGTCAGGATTCAAAACAACAGCCTAGGAATCAAGGAACACAGAAGCTGCAAAAAGTCCCCGCTGGCATAGTCTCAAAGTTGAATAAATGCTAACCATACAATCAGTTGACTTGTCTTTCACTCAAATATTTTCAACTATCACATCAGAAGACAACAAACAAAAACTAGTACTTTCAAAACAATCAATGCCAAACATCTAACATTTACATCCACATTTACTCAATCCTCTTTCAAAAAGATTTTTTTTTTTTTACCAGTGATACATGCTTTGACTTTCTTCAGAATACTTTATACTAGAAAGAGATGCAAAGGTAGATAATGAGGAGCATGTATAGTTAGAGATAGATCAAATTTAACATTCTTTAAACTAAAAAGAATAACCACCAATTAGCAAACAGAAGACAAAACATTTTTTATTGTGATTAAAGTAGAAATAGAGAAGCTTGGACAAATTTTCAGAAGAACCATTCAAAAGAATATCTCACACCAAGGGCCTACCTGAGCAGGTAATAAGCAAACTAAACAAATTTCCATACCTTTTCTATGGCTCTGAATGCTTATCAGAATAAACATGAAAGGCTAAATGGAAATGCCTCCTTCCCTGCTCACCATTTCTGGGGCTTAACTCAACAATAACGGGCTAAGCTAGTGACACTACAAACATTTCTCCTCCCAGGGTTGCTTTCATTACTAGATTGATAAGAAAGGATCACTTAGAAGTGGATCACATCTATCTCTGAGAAGCAAAACTCTGGAGAAGTCTCAGTCTGCTATATTAATCACTTCCAACCAATCTGTAAGCTCCTCCAAGTTAGCTGAAGATGTGAACATGTGGGCCTTTCTGTGATGTCATGGCTACAGAAAATCTCTAAAATGAAAGTGAAGACATTTTTTTTCCTTCTTCCATATAAAAAGCTGAAAAACAAGTGTTACCAGTAAGAAATGCATCATTATTATATAATTAAGGGTGAGATAGCACCAGAGCTAAATAAAAACTTTAATACTTAGAGCAATCTCCAGTTTCACACACACAAAAAAAAATTTACTCCTTAACATATTATTTATTTATGCTAAACACAGTTACCTTATTTCTTAAAGCTCTTATGTAGTTTTAAACCAGTACTACATAATGAAATAGCTACATGATAAATCATGAATTGTGTCAGGACAGAGCCAAAATGACAAAAATAGTCAATTAAATAGTGAAAGCTTTCAAAAAAGATGCTGGAGAGCTTCCGAGTGGTTGCTTCCTGGAAGAATGTGGGCATTCACCTTGTTAAAGGGGACAATGAATTTAGAAAAGAAAGACTTTCCTTAGCCTCACCTTTAGATAAAAATATTGTACTCTTATACAAGAATCCACCTTTAAAAATGCAAATACATTTACATGTAAAAATGTAAGCAGAACCTAAAACTGCTCTAAAAGTAGTTTATTAGTTTTTTTAAATGTACATATCTCTTAGAAGTAGGAACTCAAAATGAATGATTATAGCTTAAACAGCCATATATTTCTTCATTAGAATGAGCAAGTTACTAACTTACTAGGTCTCTAAAGGAATAGGACTTAGAACAGTTAAATTATGGTAGGCAGGAGAGGTACAGGCACCTTTGGGAAGAGAGGGAGAGCAAAGTAGAGAATGTTCTCAACCTAGCCTATGGTTCAACAAAAACAGCAGCTTTATTTCTTTCATCCAGTGCTTACTATGAAATGGAAATAATGCTAACACTTCTTGGCATTATCTCATTTAATCCTAAAGGCATCTATTCCATATGGTAATTTTATAATGTGTGTGCTATTACTTTTCCCATTTTACAGATGAATAAGCCGAGGATTTACGAAGTTAACTCTCACAGTATCATGGAGCAGCAAAGAGTATAAAGACCTGGTCCTTCAAACTCTGAAGCCCAGATTTCTCTGCTAGCTTCTGCCATAGGTCACCACTGACTATTCAGTTATCTTGGGTGTTTTGACTGCGTTATTAGGACCCGTCCATTTGTTGGTATTAAACAAGAATGATCAATAGGCATTATGACTGGTATGTTTATAGGGGAGGCAAGTGGCTCCAACAAAGCCAGGCAAATATGATTCAATTCGGCAGAGGACTGAAGCCAATTTAGACAATCTATAGGTAAATATCTTAAACTACTGAATTACAAAGAAATAAGTCGTCACTATCTGTGAAACCACACTCGCCTCCCAAAAAATGGTGAGAGAAATTTATTTCAGAGCCCCTGTGGTTTACTTCAGACAATATTAACCTTATAACTTACAAGCTGGTCCAAACTATTCTTTTTGTGGTTGTTCTTGTTATCTTAATGTCTTCTGATTCAGATCTTATAGGATCCAATCTAATATGTATTTATTAATTTACTCATCCTCAGAAAAGACAAAAAGAATTTTTCTGGTCATTAGGGAGAAAATAAAAAGTATCAATCTTTTTTCAATTCTTACTATTTTTTTAAAATAACTAAAAAGTCTAAATGATTTATTCTAAAAGCCATCGAGGTCTTTTTATTCACCTTTCCAACTGATTTGCATCTAACTAATACTGTAAAAAAAATTGTTTTGCTCACTGTAGTTTTTTAATATTCATAGACTTTTTTTTTTTTTGAGGAAGATTAGTCCTGAGCTAACTGCTGCCAATCCTCCTCTTTTTTTTCCGAGGAAGACTGGCCCTGAGCTAACATCCATACCCATCCTCCTCCACTTTATACGTGGGATGCCTACCACAGCATGGTGTGCCAAGCAGTGACATGTCCGCACCCGGGATCCGAACAGGCGAACCCTGAGCTGCCAAAGCGGAACGTACGCACTTAACCGCTGCGCCACAAGGCCAGCCCCCTGCAGACTTTATTTTTTAGAGCAGTTTTTAGGTACACAGTAAAAATGAGCAGAAAGCACAAAGAGGTCCCTCATACCCCTTGCCCTGCTACACACACACACACACACACACACACACACACACACACAGCCTCCCCCACTTTCAACATCCCACATCAGTGTGGTACATTTGTTACACTAAATGAATATGGACACATCATTACCAACTAAAGTCTCAACTATTCTTCACACCTTAATTCCTACAATTCCTCACATGACTGTTCCAGCCCAGCCAGAGCAGTTTACTGACTGTCCTATAACAGAGCAACAGACACAACTGGTCACTCCTGTCTCCAGGCCCCTGGCCCTGGGCCACTTCCTCAGTTGGGAAGACTGTGTGTTCTCCCTCTGCCTACCTTCAAGACCTAGGCTCACTCCTTTTGGAAAGAATGTTTCTGATCTCACAAGTCCACAGTGCTCGTGGCCATCTCTGAACATCTGGTAATAGACACGGCCTAATAATTTACATCATAGCAGCAGGAGTTGCTCCCAAGGAGGCAGATAAGACTTGTTTGAGAGTGTTAATTCTGGAATGATTATTAAACTTCAATTAGACAAGTTTGCTAAGCATCAGTTAGCTTTACAGTTATATCTCATTAACCATTATTTCTACATTACAAATGAATCTTATTGCTGGAAGGGAATGGAACCTAGTTCTTCCGATTCCATACAATCCAACCAGCTGCCTGATATTCTGTGATTTTTTTTCCCTTAGACAAACTGATTATGTAACAAATCACACACTGAACTACCCTTTGCAAGCTGCAGGATTGAGAAAGACGGTTGCCTTCTTCACTTGTGCATTGGGAGGAATGAGTTGACTGCCAAACACCTAAAAAGGAAAAAAGAAATGTTGTAACTAAATGTCCTTTTATCCAGTTATTGATCACATATATTCTTTCATTCTAAAAGAATTTACTTCCAGTAGATATGCTATTTACTCTGGGGAAAAAAAATATTCATTATTTCACATTGACAATAACACCATAAACAACAACAAAAGTGTACCATTATTTATACAATAAATAAGACAATAAGCTGAATTTTGTATTATAATAAAAAATCCTGCTTCACCTACTAGAGGTAAGTAACTTTTCTTTTCTCTATAAAACGTGGCTAGGTTTACTATAAACACATAACTAATAAGGCCACAGCCTATCAGAAGGGAAATTAATCCATTTGTCTTTAGTTTTCAGAGTATCATCTTTTTCTCCTCTTTATTACTAAAGCTCACTCATAAAGAACCTTATGCTACCAATTAATTTTCATATCTTTATACATATAAAAATAAACCTAATACTCTGCCTCCTCTTCTTTGCAACCTTGTATAACTAAATAGCATCAACTGGCACAAGAAATGTCATTACTACTAACTAAGCACCTAGTATTTGCCACTTTCGCACACATTATTTTTAGTGCTCAAAAACCTAGGAGGTATTAAATATTCTCATTTTAATAGATTAGAAAATCAAGATTCAGAAAGATTAAGTCACTCAAAGTCACACAGTTAATAAATTACAAGCCTAAAATTTACATCTAACTCCAAAACCCAAACCTCTTCTACTCCATCAGCTCTAAAGAGCATACAATGGATGAGGCAGAATGAAGAGGCACAGAGGACTAGATGTGAGTCAAAATTGGAACTTTTGGGACCTATTGCTATATAACATACGGATGAGAGAAGATGATCAACAAAAAGAATGAGAGCAGGAAAGCACCAAAAAGGGCTAAATTTCAAGTCTTAGATGGTGGGGAGAAAGTCTGGGCCAAGAAGGCAGAATTCAAGTACAGAAGTACAAAGTAAAGAGAGGAGAAAAATGAAAGTTATAGCAAGATTTTTCTTAAATAACTGACTCTAAATCCACAATCTCCCTGACAGTCCCTTGGGGATCCTTTCTCTCCACTCTCTATTTCTTGCTTTAAAAAAATAAACTTGTTCTGAAGACTTGAGAAAGATGTACTGTTTCTTTGTAAAAAGCTTCTGGTACATTATAAATTTCTACTGTTTTCACTCTTACTGAATTAGACCTTAACATTTTGCTGCCAAATCTCCAATTATAATTTGTTCTTTTTCCATCCATGCTATTTCTGGAATGTAGTCAGAAGTTATTTAATTAAGCAGGTTCTCTGGCCTACCAGGTTCCAGATCTACAGTTTCAGATTGTCCTCCTCATCCTGGTTCCTTAGTCTCTAGAATTCTTACCTACTTGCAACTCAAGTCTCATGTTTACAGTTGGTTAAGGAGTTTATGTAAGACTATAGTGAGTTCAGTTATGTGAGATTAAAAAAATCATATTCTTTCAAGAATTTAGGCTGTAAAGGGAAGGACAAAAACAGGAAAAGAAACTAAGGGAAGCTATAAGGATGAATTCACTTCCTTTCGTCACATGAAGAAGCTAAATGTGTGCTGGGAAGCGGAGAACTAGAAGGCTGGGAAGAGGTACATATATGAGAGGGAGGACATAACTAGAGGAACATGGTCTCTGAAGAAGTAAGAGGAAACGGAACTCGGAACAGAGGTGGAGGCATTTACCTTAAATAAGAAAGAGAGGACCCTAAAACCCCTCTTCCTTAAAGAGAGAAAGAAAGGGTTCCCCACCCAAGAGAATTTTCCAGTTACCAATGGAAAATTAGCTTGGGGTGGAAATCACCTCAAATTTAATATTAAAGTTTATTTGAATTGATTTCCAAAACCACTTAGAGCCATATGAGATAAAACAAACAAAAAAGTAACAAATTCTTAAAACGCAGATTCAGAGAGGAATTTATTAAGACTATTGTCATTGTCACCCAGGAAAAGATTTCAGAAACAAACATGAGGTTTGCCACCCTACTCTCCTACTAAACACATCATACCTTTATCATTTTTTACTTCACATGTTTCTTTTTTGGTTATTTCTGATATTATAAGCTTAAATTATATATAACAAAAAGGCAACTCAGTCATGAAAATTCATCTGCAAGCTATAATGTACAAATCTGGAGGGGAAGGAAGAACAAAAATGTGACAAACTTGAAAGGATTCACAATTCAACTATAACTAACACACTCAGATGTATGAATATTTAAGTGCAGTATCATGGGACTGGGATAACAATGCACATGGTATGAATCAGTTGGGCTAAGGAGACAGGCTTTAAAAATATGAATCAACAGTTTTAAGAAGATTTGACTTTGAGCGGTAACACCTGCTCTGAACTGATATCTTTGGGGATTACTTGGATCGGGAATGATAATTTGGATTGGGGACAACCACAGCCACGAACAAATTCCCAGGGCTCCAACCAGTCCGCTTCTGTGTTTTTAGGACTAATCCAGAAGTAAACAAGTCGAAAAGGGTGGGCGTTAGCGCTGCTCTTCACCAGATGGTTAGCTTCCTCGAGTTCTATTCAGAGCTGGCTCTCAGCCTGATTCATCCAAATAGGAGAAAAAATACCCAAACAGCACTGATGCAAGGCACTGTGCAGGACCGACCAGCCTGAGTTTTCTGCACAATGGAGATAAGGCGGGTTTTAATTCTATCACAGTAAATGGCATTACCTGAGCTTCTTCACAGGCTGCTCTCCTTAGGAGGTTATCACTATTAAAGTAAACAAGAGAGAACGAATATTAGCTTTAATACGTAGGTTGAGATCCAAACAAATAAAATTTGTTTTCTTTTTTGAAAATATGTTTAACTCTTCCCTATAAAATACCCAAGTGAAAGTTTCTTAAAAATCTGTAGCAAATCATGGGCGTATTTGAAAAATATTTTCCCTGAATGAAATCCGGTGTTAAGTGTTTCCATATCATGGTGGGCAGAATAACACCCACTCCCTCTAAAATGGCCACAGCCTAATCCTCAGAACCTGAGATTATGTTACCTTACTTGACAAAAGGGATTTTACAGAGATGATTAACGTAAAACGTGCTCATGTGTTTATGCCATTTATACCAAAGGAGTACTTTAAATGGCTAATTGCCGACCTGGCTCCAGAATTTTCTCCTCTTACGAGTCAAATCTAACACATGTTGCTAGCACTGCTAAGATCATGATTTCAACTTGGTTAACAACAGTTAAGAGAACTAATACCCAGAAAGGATGAGCAATACACAATTTATAGCAAAGAATTAAAAGGAGAAAAGGGTTATTTCACTTAAATTCTCTTTCTAGACCTTTTTCATAACATCGAAGACCTTGAATTTTGCATTTTTACAGTAATTCTAATCTAATTTTGATATTTAAGGTTGAACTAAAAGAAATCAAACAACCTTTTGCTTTTTGCCATAGTTGCAGTCAAAGGCTGCTCAATGATTTTCTTCCACAGCCAGGCTGGAGAACAACCCCTAGATTTCACAGAGCAGTCAGCTTCAGTAAGAAAGCACTATCCAAGGGGAAGCACCAGTGCTGCCCATCTGAAACCTCAGACAACGTTCCATTAAAATAATGACGCCAGTACCTCAAAAGCACATGCTGTCCTATAACAAAGATTTTAGCAGGACCAACCCCTTGTGAAGTCTGGCCCACAAGCTGCCTTTACTGCCAGGGTCAGTCCCCCCTTGTTTGAGCGACACTGCACCACTATGACCCTGTTGCAAAAGGGAGCTGTACAAGCTTCTCTCCCCTCCCCCACCCAAGAGTCACAAATATTCATGTTTTGCTCTTCTCCCACATGTCTCTCCATCAATTGCTCTCAGTGAATCATATCAACAAATATGTGTATATATATATATACACACACACACACACACAAGATGAGGTAAACTGAGGACACAAACTAGTAAAATATTTAAAAATAATTAACACGTCGATAACCCTTTATAGTTGACTTGATTACCTCACAGTCATGACCTTCTATACAATGATGAAGTAAAATACTGAATCTTCAGTAATCACTGGATCACGAAACAAAACTAGGTTCCTTGTAGTAATCTGGGCATTGTCACTGGATCCCCCGGTACTGGGCTAATCCTCAGTCCAGCTTCCACACTACCCCGAGGGTACCACTTCCAGCCTCACATGACTGTGCTCCTCCAAACTCACTTGCTTTAATCTTTTTTCCTAGTCGATGAAATAACCCGTGTCTCCGATCTCTTATCCTACGAACCCAGCCTGTGGAGCCTCCTTCGGGTCATGAGTAGACACCATCTTCCTTACTGCATTTCAGCCACACTGATTCCTATGGACCCAGCTGAAAAGAGAATAGCCCCAACTATATAGAAGAATATGGGTATTCTTGGATCATTTTTTCCTAAATTCTTTTTTGCTAGAAGTAAAATTTTGATGGTTAACTTGTGATTAAGTACATCATTAAAGAGCTCAGCTCTCTTGAGCTTACTAATCCTGCTTGATTCATCAGAGTGCTATTCAAAATCAAAAGATTTCTTGATAGTTAATTCCTTGGATCTTAACGTACCAAATGGAATATGCTGTCAACGCCACCTATGAGAAAGCCAGACTATGTACCAATTTAGATACTACAAAAGAAAATCTCATGATAATCACACTTAATTTTTTTAAATATCAAAAATGCTATTAATCATCTTGATCTTGCTCTCTGAACCAAGCCATTTCTAAAAATCAAACATGTCCTCAAAAAAAAGGATTGCTCCCATTGATATATTCTAATAGTCTAGAGCAAGCTCTGAAAACTATTTCAAAAAAGAAATTCCAAAAAACGTTTCAGTAATGGCAGCATTATTTCTTATAATTTCTCATTCGCTTATTGGAGTAAGAGAAAAAATAGCTTAAATTTCATAGAGCCAGACACTATGGCAGCTGTTTTCATAAACCTTTAAACTTTTTAACACCTTGCAAGGCAGGCATTATATTCTCATTTTACAGATGAGGAAGTTGAGGCTCAGAGAAGGAAACTGACTTGCCAAGGTCACTAAGTGGGTGAGCTGGAATTCAAACCCATGCCAACCCGACACTAAAGCAAATGCTTTAATGCTTTTTCTTCCTAACTGCAGACAATACTGAATGGGCAATACTCATGCAGATGTATGCTTTACAGCACACTTATTAAATTAATCACCTTACTTCCTAGTCTCTTCTAATATAACTTTCTTCTGTTTATTTTTTATTTTATTTTTTTAAGATTTTATTTTTCCTTTTTCTCCCAAAGCCCCCCAGTACATGGTTGTGTATTTTTAGTTGTGGGTCCTTCTAGTTGTGGCGTGTGGGACGCCGCCCCATCATGGCTTGACGAGTGGTGCCATGTTCGCGCCCAGGATCCAAACTGGCAAAACCCTGGGCCGCCAAAGCAGAGTGCGCGAACTTAACCACTCGGCCACAGGGCCGGCCCCCCTAATATAACTTTTAAAATTTACCTTCACATAATGTTTTTATAAGTTCAGGTGCGAAAAGCTCCCAAAAGTAGTTGGTGAAACAAACTCTTTTAACACAAAATGTCAGGTATGGTACAATGAACAAGATTTGGTCCTGACCCGAAGCTGCTTAGGATCAAGAGGCAAAGAACAGCTCTTGGTAAATATCGGTGATATAGTAAAAGACGTGTTTCTAGATAAACAGTATGCCAGGCACTGTGCTACGTGTCTGGGATATACTGTTGAACCTCACGAGGTTCACAGTTTAGAAGGGAAGAAACACGATTCAACAGGCAATCATCATATGATTTGACTTTCACGTGCTCCCTAAAACAGGCACAAAATAGGGTATCTAACCTAGCCTCAAGGGAATTAGAGAAGGCTTTTTTACCAGAAGTGACAGTGAAGTTGAGATCTAGGGGATTATAAATAAAAAGTAGCCAGGAAAAAATAGGGAGGAGAATGTAGGCAAAGGAAACAGCATGTTAAAAGCCTCAAGTGCTAGAACATGACCAAGATAGGAAACGGCAAGTAGCTCAGGACAGCTGGAGGCAGCATGCCATGGTGGGGAGCAGCGAAAGAGGAGGCTCAGGAGTGAGGTACAGGCCAGATCACCAAGGGCCTTTTAAGCTATTTAAGGAATGTGGATTTTATCCTATGGGCCATAAGAAGCCATTAAGGGGTTTTAAGAAGAGAAGTGATGTGATCAGATTTACACTGTAGAAAGATCATTCCGCTTGCAGTGTGAAGAAGGCAAAGGTGAAAGGGAAGCCTGAATCCAGGGACACCAGGGAGGTTCTTCAGGAATACAGGTCAGTGAGGATGACCACTGGAACCAAGATGGTGCAATGCGGGCTGAGAGGACATATTCAGCAGACATTTAGGAGGTAAACTTAGCGGCTGGCTTGTGGGGATTAAAGGGAAGGGAGGGGTCAAAGATGGTGCCCACATTTCTGCCCTGAGCCATCCAGCGGAAGGTGCTACCATTCACAGAGATGGAATGCAGCAGAAAGTACAGGTTTAGGAGGGAGGAAGCTGCGTTTAGTTTTGGATGTGTCGATCTGAGATAGTGGTGAGAGTCCAGGTGGAAGTGTCCAGGGTGCAGCTGGAAACACGTCTGGAATTCCAGACAGTGATCTTGACTAAAGATAAATGGTAACAGACGGGATGCGAATGGATAAGATTACCTATATGAGTAGGTGAGAAGTAGAAGCAGCAGGAAGAGACACCAGGAGCACTGGGACAGTTGACAGGGAACACCAAATCAATCTCCAGTAAATTGAGACTGCACCCCATTTGAAAGCCAAAGGAAAGATGTGGTGGATAGAGGAAAAATGTTCTCTCCCATCGTGCCCTTGATACTGCCTCTATTCTTGGCAAACTGTCTGTTTTGCTGTTCCTAAAAGACACAGTGAACTTTACCCCTCCAAGGATCTGATCATTTTATCCCCTTTCACCTTAAAAAAACAGAAGGCCAAACACAATACCATCTACCCCCTTACCCCACCACACACAAAACTGTCTTATCTTTCTTGTCTTATCTTTCTTCCTTGATTATAAATATCTGGAAGTCACAGATAATTCACCCTTTTCTCTTCCACAGCACACAGCACAGACTCAAGCAGATGAAAGGTACTAAATAAATACCTGTTTAATAAATAAGTGACAAATGTTTGAACAGGAGAGATTGACTCACTGTGCTCAGGCAGGCAGACTTTGTGCTGTAGGAAAAACTTAAGGTTATTCTTCGTATGAGTATTCGGCATTCTTAAACCAACAGATCATCTGGGATGGTTCTTCAGTGTGATTATCACCAAAGGGCAAGAGGAGGGATCACTGTGATGCAGTACCGGAGAAGACGACAAACTTAGCGCAGTCGTGGGCACTTTACCAGATCAAGAAGAGCCAAGGGTCTGTGTGTGTGTGTTTGGGGGAGGGTAATGGTCTAGTATCCTCTAGAAAGACTAAGTGAGGAATTCTTTTCAGTAAACCAGGAAGCATCACAAGAATTGCTCCAGAGGCTGAGTCTGCTATCAGAGAAATTCCAGATTGCCAATGCGTCAAGAATCTGAATGTGAACTGAAGACCTGTTATCAAAAAAAACAAAACAAGTACCGTACATAAATTCAAAGCCCATGCTCCTTCTACTACATCATGCTGTCTCCTGAGAGAACTGAAGTTTAAGGCAATTTAAAAGAGGTGCTACAAAATGTAGTCATATTAGAAAGGGTCCCTGAAGATCTGCTCAGTACTAAAATGCAGGTTCTTTCA